AGAGCACTTACATCTTAAAGCATAGGGAGAGAATGCAAGTTCCTTTAAGAACTCTTGTTTCCTAAGGCAAGAATTTTTACAAATTACTGAGCCTTTTGAGATAAATAGGTGAGGTTTTTGGATTGGTGAAAAGGTTAGGTGAACTTTGAGCTGTTTCTAGAGCTGCATTTCTGATTTTGCAAAGATTTGTAAGATAAGGACAGCTGCTTTCAATTCTTCAAAGAGTTGGGTTGCAGCCTAACTGATATCAAGAGGCTGAACCACCATTCAACTACAGTATCCTCAATTTGCTTCTTTACGTCAAGGAGAAGATCTTCAACTAAGATGAAAGTCAAAAGGATTCCTATGTTCTAGATTTAGAGCTCTGGCTTTGGAGTGTTTTTCTTTCCATCTGGGTACCTTTAACTAAGAGATGGCCCAAAAATAAAGATCCCGTCAGACTCTGAATGTCAGCTTCCAATTTGGCCAACTTCTGACCATAGAGCTACTTAAAAAATCTATTCAAATCTCTTGTCAGGTTTCAAACAAACAGTAAATATTCCTCGAGTATTAGACAACCCCATGGACTCCAGAAGAACTCCAAAGGGGGTGCAAGAGACATTATCCTCCGAAGGTCCAGAGCTACTCCCAAACGTAGCCAAAGGAAGGAAAGACTCAGACAATTCCTCTGGGGGCTGGCAATAGACTCTAGCCACAACTGGAGTTCAACTCACGTTTCTGTCCAGCCATATCTAGCTGCAAATGGGGTGCAAACCAAATTTCTGTTGGGCCGTATTTTGTGGTCTCCAGCCTGACAGTTACCAAGCCAAGTTCTTAGAACACAAAACAAGACGAACAAGAAGGTAAGAGCTGTTCCTGGGAGAGAAAGGATCAATAATTAATGGGTATGGATTTGGGAATGAAGGGAACATGTGACATTTTATTTTCCTGTCTTGACCGGGCCCTACAGACAGAGATTTGGGAGAGCTGACTCTGGCGGGAATTCTCGCCCTTCGCTGGCTTCTACCAGTTTCTCCAGGATCCTATCTGAAGGCTCTGGTGTCTACCAGAATTTGGCAAGGTTTTCCATTAATTTTAGTTTTGGTCTCCTCTTGGCTGTTTAAGGGAATAACCTAGCAATCTAACACAAAATCCCTCAGAGTCCCATCAACCCTGGGAGGGGCCCATATGGGGGCCCTCATTTGACAGTAGGTATGGGGGTACCTGTAAGGCCACTAACTCAGCAGACTTCTGTTTGTGGTTATGTAGTTTCTTCCGAGTGGAAAGACATTTCAGAAGACTAGGAAAATGAGGACTGAAGTCAAGGAGAACAGAGGGGAGCAGTCGGAGTCACGTTAGTTTAGCAGCTTCCGTGTCAGGTACCTCTTGTGTCTTTAATTTTTCATTAGCCTGTTGCACTGAATCTTTCAATGAAGCTATTTTGGAATTTCAAAGTCATTTGGAGGCTTCTGCATGCCGGTTGAAATAGGTGTCCCATTCTGTTAGTTTGATTTGGGACCCTTTGCTTGCAAGTGCACTTCTTTAATTGATCTTATCTAATTGGAACATTCCTCATGATGACCATTGTAATTTTAGGTTATCTTGGTAAGATTTTGCCATTTTCCTAGACATCTACAGAGTCCAGGACCACAGTTCTTAGACATGAAGTAAGCAGGTGTACTGGCAGATGGTGTGCTCAACTCTTTGGAAATTAAAGATCCCATTTCTTTAGCTGAGCCTTGGGTCTCTTAGAAACAAATTAACACCTAAGAGGGATGTGCCACTGGTTGGGGATTTCGTGGTGTTTTACAGTGTACTTTGTTGCATAGAAATTTTCTTGAGATCAGTGGGTGACATAGTGTCAATCTACCCCATTCTGTGACCAACTTATCCTAACACAGGAGTCTTAGAGGTAGGTGCTAAGTGCTCTGACAGCTTTTAGTGCTCCACCTGTGCCCACCAATTTTGTGGCTTTTGGCTTCCGAGATTCCCCTTGCAATAGCCTTGACCTCACGTGCATATTAACACACCAGCAGTAACCAAAGACATGTTACAGGGGACTGGCCACAAGAAGGCTTTGTGTGCACCACCAGCAATTGCCAATGTGGAACTAGCGATGGGGAATGGACTGAACCCGTAGACCCCAACAAATGGGGACTGCAGAGTGGGATTCCAGTCAAATGGGGAACTACAGACTGAGCCACCTGCAGTTCCCAACATGGAATCCAGGGACTAACCCAAGGGAGGGGATTCCAGTCAAATGGGGAATTGCAGGCTGAACCAAGGGCTAGGGGCTTGGGTTCCAGGTGGAACTGTCTGCTAGCTCAAGCTGACTTGCCCTGGACTGGAAAACCAATCAGGAGCTCTATGCAAAGAGAGGGAAGCTCAGAACCAAGAGGAACTTGTCCACGACCCTTGGAAACAGTGGAAAGACAGAGAACTCAAAGGGTTCTTGAGTACCAGTGCCTGTGTTTCTTGTTGTCCCCAAAGCAGTCAGAAGTTTCCTTCAGATCCCATCACTGCTACCAAAACAGTTAGAAAAGAAAACTCAACTGAATAACTTTTGAAGATCTTATTGGCTTTATTCAGTGATTCATGCACCGGGCAGCACCCCATCTAGCAGACAGAAAGGAGCTCTGAGGAGCTATACAGAGCTAAAAACTTTTATAGGCAGAAGGGAGAGGCGCAAGGAGGTTATATTAGCAAAGAAGGGGTTGTTTGTGGCAAGGTCATCTTCCTTTAGGAGACAGGAGGGGTCTGTCAGGCAGATGACCTCACTAGTACTGACCAGGTTAACTGACTGTTTTAAGATTTCATTCCTGAGAGAGGCTGAAACTGTAATTAAATTCAGTATTAAGCCTCAGTTTGGCGACGTGGGTCTTAGCATAAGTGACTCCATTTTGAGCCTGGTTTTTTTTTTTTAAACACCACAAATAGGTATTATTATTTTCATTTTACAAATGAGGACACTAAGGATCAGAGGGATTTACACCTTGTCTGAGACCCCACAGCTAGTGAGCGGAGTAGCTGAGATTCAAGTCCAGGCCTGCCTGACGCAGAGAGGCGGTGTGGTCCCGAGGCTGTGAGAGGGGGCTCCGGACTGTGCTGGGCTGGGCCTCCAAGTCTCTCCACACTTTAGAAGGATGCTGTCCAGCATGTGGCTGACAGCTGGCAAATTCAGAACTTTCATTTTATCTGTTTACATAGAGATGACCAGGTTTAGAGGGCTGATTGACCGCCAGCAAACTTGGAGAGTAAATCAATATAATTTATTCATTTAAAAGTAAAGGAAGATGGGCGTATATTATTGGTCATTTAAAAAAATGTATTTATAGATCTACTCAGAAAATCATATTATGGAACAAAGTTTTCTTGGCAAGTATAGAATTGGAGTGAAAGAGTGTATATTCCTAAAGCATATTCCTTTGGTTTCTTTGTAGAAACGAGATTTCTGTTTAAACGATGGATACTCATCATTAGAATAAGACCACCGTCCAGTAGCTGTGCAGGAGACACTCCCACTGGGGCGTTCCCAGCCTGGGACTCTCCCCTGTTAGGAATGCGTGGCCACCTCTCCGTTCAACTCCATTCACAAATCACACTTCACAGACCCACTAAATCAAGGTTTATTTTAATAGACTGTGACTCTTGTCCATCTCTGAATCGCATCCTCTAGGATTGTGTTCTTAAACAAATGATTAAGTAGATGAATTAAGCATTATTCTTGGTGAGATTTGAGCAATGTGTCTCTCAGCTTCTTAAAGAATATTCTAGTTTTATCAGCAACACCTTTAAAACTCGCAGGTTTGGACGCTTCTCTGTGGGGGTGGGGATCTATTTGCATCCATATTTCATAGGTCCTTATTAATTTCAGTGTCAAAGAGTGAAACAGTATTGTTAATTTTGTCTGATGTTATAACAGTATTTTTAGTCTATTAATTTTTAAAAGTCCTCTTCTGGAAACACATATTTGAGTATCTTGGATGAAATGATATGTCAGGGATTTCCATGAATACCAGGTATTCGTGTATTGACAAATTCATGTATTCATATTCATGCTTATGAAATTAAGAAGTTAAAAGGTAAAAAGAATGAAAAGTCTTACTGGTTTCAATTCTTACATTGGATCCTTTTGTTTAAGCAGTTCCTGATTTCAAATATTACCTCTTGTCCAAGGCAGAGACTGTTAGCCAACCCATGGGATGTCTCTAAGCCCTTTTCTCTGTTATTTCCACTATAGAGGCTACAAAGCCTCCTTTCCAGCCTTCCTTGCAGTTAGGACTAGCCAGATAATAGGGGTTTGACCAGTGAGACATACGCAGAAGTTGGCTGGGGCTCCTCAGAAGACTTTTTGCTTTCCTGATAAAAGGAGAAGATGTGGTTAGTGCTATTCCTTTTTCCTTCTTCTCTGCCTTCAACCTGGATGTAATATTTGGAGCTGTGGCAACCACTTTGCAACCATGAGGCAACAGTCATGAGGGAAAGGCCAATGGCATTAAAGACACTGGCCCTCACATCATCAGGCTGCGGAGCCAACTCTAGCAGCCACCTACCTCCTAACTTTTTTTTAAGATTGGAGACAAACACCATTGATAATCTCCTCTTAGCTTTTCTGTTACTTGTAGCAGAACATATCCCAAGTGTTAATATTGCTAGACACAAAGTCAGAGCATGAGTCTTTATTTTCGGTTCCAGAAAACTGGCACCTATACCTTCTCTAACCTGCAGTCTTCCAAGCCTAATGCACAGGATAGTATGTGGATTTGCATTTTAAGGATTTATTCACGTATTTACTCATGTTATGGGAAGTGCATCTTTTTAATGTTTGCAAATGTGGCAGTTTAGGGTAAAGTCTTGGATTGTATATATTCTTTTTCTAACTGGGCTGGACTTCAGTTTGCACCTGCTCTCTTTGTCCCTTTTGCCTACCTCCACCGCCATTTGTGAAAAGCCCAGTCACACCACTCCAGGCTCTACTCCAGTGACAGTTTACAGAAAGAGGAGGCAGCTCACACAAAAAATTTACCAAGAAAACTTTTATTTCAAGCTGGTTTTCCTGGTCCATTGCAATGAAAGTCTTTAACCAGCCCCTCCTAGGTTCCTGCCTGAGTTTTTCTTGTTCAGCAGCTTCAGCTCACGGACTTGTCAACGTTCATGTCAGGGAGACATGTCTGTTGTAGGAAAGAAAATTTCATGGAGCTCTAAGTTGGAATGTTAAACCTAAATGATTATATACCTTTAAGGAAAAAAGATAAAGTTTACGTAAGTCTTAAGAACCTCTTTAAAATGGCTATAATTGCTTTTCAACAAAAAGTTTCCTTATTAAACAGCAACATCGCTGTCACTCTCCCAAATGGACAGATGACACTGTAGACGCAACAAAATGTGGTTCTATGTTATTTGGGAAAGAAATGCTATAAATGAGGGATTTATTTCTTGGACACCACACCAAAGTCTCTTTTACTAAGAATGAATGTGAAACATTATAGAAATAAGAGTAATAATTACTATAATTGTGTTAGTAATAACATTATAATTGGTATTAATAGAGCGTTGTAGGTAAAAATTATATTTTGGGCTAATAATTTTTTGTTTTGTGAGCAACGTAGTCTTATATTCGGAGCAGATCGTGAGGCACCATCCACAGCGACCCTCCTTCCCCGCCCAGCTGCTCTGCCCCTTCAGCACGGAGCCCACGGAGAACGCGTCCACAGAGCTCGAGAGCTCCACAGCACATGCTGAAACAGCACAGGATACACACGTTCCATAGTTTTCCTGATTTTAAAAGTAATTTAAACTTTACAGTAACCTCGGAAGAAGCGGAAAAGTATAAGAAGAAAACAAACCTCACTCATAATTTCACTACCTAGAGGGAGTCACCATTAACATTGCAGTAAATTTCTGTTCAGTCTCTCTCTCTCTATGCACACATACATATAACATTTGGATAATATTTCAAATACTATTTCGTAAACTGCTTTTTTATCACTCAATATTATATTATAAGCATTTTCCCATTAAAATTTTAACGGATAATTTTTTTTTTTTTTTTTTTGGAGGAAGATTAGCCCTCAGCTAACTACTGCCAGTCCTCCTCTTTTTTTTTGCTGAGGAAGCCTGGCTCTGAGCTAACATCCGTGCCCATCTTCCTCTAGTTTATACGTGGGGTGCCTACCACAGCATGGCTGCCAAGCAGTGCCATGTCCGCACCCGGGATCCGAACCAGCGAACCCCGGGCCGCCGAGAAGCGGAACGTGCGAACTTAACCGCTGCGCCACCGGGCCGGCCCCTTAACGGATAATTTTTAAAGTTGAGTAATACTTTAGATGATAAGTGTGGTAAGACTTATAGATCATTTGCTTGTTTTCAGTTTTCTACTAGCATAAAATAACGTGGTGATAAATATTTTTTGGCATTGTTGAAGATTTTCTGAGATCAACTTCCAGGTAGAATTCCTGAATCAAAATATTACAATCACAATTTAATTTCTTTCAAGAGCTTTGGAAATAGGTTATAGTTCCCCCAAAGCATATGCAAGGCCCCCGTCTCCTCACACTGTTATTGATGCCATCATTGAAAAAAGAAATCTTTGCCAAATTAATAGCTTCCTCACTCAAAATGTTATCTTACTGTTGTTGAAATGCAATTTTTAAGTGATCTGATTATTGGCAAGGTTAGATATCTTTATAGGTTCAATGGTCATTTGTATTTCATCTTCTATGAATTGTCTGTTCAAATCCTTGTGCATATATTATATGAATATGGAAATTACATTTAATTCTAGAGTATCTTTTATCTGATCAGAAACAGCTACCTAAGTGTGATAAAGAAATAAAACAAAAGTTTCTTGGTCACCTCAAAACAGTAAACTTTGCATGAATGAGTGGTGTGTCGTATCATGTAAATGTTCAGTGGATCAGATACCCTTATATACACATTGAGTTTATTTAAATACGATCACTTCTAATTAATCTGACTAATAGCTCTTACCTTTTCATTCGATCACAGTGTAAGTGCTTTCCATTCCACCCTCAATGTGAAGGCCAACATGGCAATGAAATAACCAGGTTCCAACATCTCTTGGATACATTTTTACAGTTTTATAGACCCCAGGAGGAAGGTCATAAACGTCAGAGCGGTATATTCCGGAATCCTCGACAGGGAGACAAAACACCATTAGATAGCTTATAAAAGGTATCAGTCACATACACATCTTCCCATCTGCTATAACTCCCCAATTCTAATGGACTTTGTTAGACAACAATTAGAAAGCATTCGGTGCTGTTGCACCTCTTCTCTGAGTACAACTGAGGGCTCGGAGGAGGAGCAAGTCCCAGGACATTTCAGTGATAGGCCACAGGGAAACACCTCGCTCTAAAAGGATACCTGTGTCAGCATCGGTGTCAGATGCCTTGTCAGCATGTCATACAAAAGAAGGCTCTAGATTTCAGAGAAGATTTGGCTTCCCAAATCTCAAAGATTTTAGCTGCAACATTCCTGACTAGAGATGTTGGTGATGTGAAGATGCTCACTTCTTGAGATGTAACTAATCAGGAAACCGCGTGGTTACAGGAAGGAGAGGAGCGCGTCTGCCTCCTGCAGCCATGTCTGCCTTCTTGGGACTGGGGCTGAGGACGGAGGGCCGTAATGGCTGGTTTCTCTCTGAAGCAGAGAACCTGATGTTTAGGAGACTACTTCCTCTCTAGGGTGGTTTGATCCTGAAAGGTGCAGGTCCAGGGCCTGGCCTGGATGAATTAGGAAGAGAGTAAGTGGAAGATGAATCGCTGTGCATAATAAAATGGGAGGGATCCGGAGGATGGGGGATGGTCGGAGAGTGCAGCTCAAGGTGGGGTCCAGAATCCTTTGAGGAGAGAAGAGATATCAAGAGAGACTGGAGAGGAAGGAAGCGGAGAAGGAAGTCCTGAGGCTGAGAGTAAAAACCAGGTGAGCCTGAGGTTCCCAGTGACACATGGTGGAGTGGTAATTGAAGACAGAGCTGTCTCATGTCAAATGGTCAGTGCTTTCCCTGTGTAGTTTTGATTTTTAGAAAACCCTTGTTTACCACTAAACTTTCACTTAAGTTCTGTGACTGCAACGGTCTTGGTTTTGTGGTTGTCTAGGGGAATCATAGAAAGTGGGGGCATGTTCCATTTGGGAACTGCACAGAGAAGAGAAAATACCAGCCACAGGAGGTGAGAGGCAAGGCAGACGTGGAGACGCAGGAAAAGAGAGTTGGAGGTGATGAGGAGGAATTCAGGCTCTCGAGACCCCCTGGAGATACTGGGAGGCAGAGAGGAGGAAGGCCGGGCCATTTCCCAGCAGAGGCAGCGGGGGCTCGTCACTGTTATGTGGGCAGATTAACTTTGCATCTAAGGTGATCATAATACAGGTGACATAGATACACTTCTAGGATGGCAGAAAATGTAGAGAACAACATGAAACAATTTTAACTAAGAATTGACAATGTCTGAGGCACAAGCAAATGTACAACATATACCCAGAGCCCTGGCATCGAGGGAGATCGTAGCCTGAGGGAACAGGAGGTGACTGGCTGGCTTGTCCCAGGACCAAGTTGGTAACCTGAGGACTGCTCTCCTGCCGAGAGTTCCAGGAGGTAAAGCCCAGAGGTGACGTCAGTGCTGGCATAATTAAATTCCACCGAGGGACAGCGAGACTACTTGTGATCATCGGTGACGGTTCAGGGGGTTGACGGCTAGAGCTGAGAGCTGGTGGGACAGGCTCTGGGGGGTAAATAGGGCATTCGTAAGGCAGGCAGTGCTGTGAAGAGGCTTAGGGTGAGGTGCTGTGTGAGAGGCTGGTTCAGTTCCTACTTCTACTTCCTGGTTGTAGGAAGGTTCTTGATCTTGTCAATCCTTCGTTTCATTCCCCTACAAAATCGTGAGAAAATAGTGCCCATCTGATGGGGAAGTTGTGAGGGTTCAATGAGAAATTCCAGCACAGTACTCAGCATAGTATCTGGCACATAAGAAGTACTTAATAAAGGTTAGCTATCACTATCATTATGGAAAGGTTACCACGAATTCCACTTAATTTGACACCTTGTAATATAATCATTTATTAGCTGTAGCCTCTAGGGATAATTCATTTCCTTTCATCTCCACACAACACTCGGCCTGGTTCTAGGACTATCAGAGGCACCTGCTGAACTGAACTGAACATCAAACGTACCGTAAAAAACTGTAACCAGATTTTAAGTCTCTCCCTTTTGTTCTAATTTTTCAAGTCTAATATAAACAGTAGGAGCTTAACAACAATTCTAATATCTAGGGTGTTCCTTCAAAAATATGAGCTGTGTAGATGGAAGTATAGAAAGATCTTGATGGGCCTGGGTGAAGGGTAAAGCGGTTCCTTATGTTATTCTTTATTCTATGTGTTATTCTATATGTCCGCTTTATTATATAAATTCTCTATAATAAAAGTAGTTTTTAAGCCAAAAAGAGATATGAGTAACAAATTTGTTCATTAAAGGATAGGAAAGAAAGCAACAAAAGTTTGTGCAGATCAAATCATGCACAGTCATTTCATGTATTTCTCTGACAGGCCCTGTGCTTAAAGGAGCTTTGAACGTAATACATCTAGAATTCAGGAAAGCTCTGTGTGAAACTCGTATCAATGTGGAGATGGGCTGTATTCTGTCAAGTGGTTAGACTAAATGTTGAGATGCCAGATGCATAAAATATAATTGGTCCTCAATGGTACACTAATGTTTATACAAGGGATTAGGATGAGGAAATAAAGAAAATGCTCCGTAAGTAAATAAATGACATTAACTTGGAGACTGAAAAGGGGAAGGATAAAAACGAAACTACTTATAATAAATTAGAGAGATGGCCAGTCAAAAACGGTCATTAAAAAAAATTTGCGAAGAAGTACGACTGGTGGGGTGAGGGAAAGCAATTCAGACAGAAGATACAAAGAGCCTCAGAATGCATAAAACAGAAAAAGTGACAACAATAATAAAAAAGGTACCATAAAGCCAGCTGTCACCCAATTCCACAATTTAATTCTCTAACAAATGTTAAAGGAATGACAGAATTAGAAACCCACCATCTATAACCCCCATTACAAAAATTGATTCAGGCTAGGATCATCAATGGATCTTTTTTAAAACTACAATGTGAAAAATTGTTGGAGAATAAAATATGTAAAAAAAGATCACTTCACAGATTACTTGTTAATTGCAAGAGGAAGATGATGCTTTTAAAATGGGGAGAATGGTACACGTCACCTTAATAGTTATCAGACTTAGCCTCACCAGTGTCAGCACCTGTTGACATCATGTACGTCTTGATGTGATGTGTGAGAAGGACACAATATCACCTATGCAGTGTTCTTGCCAAAAATGTTTGACAGAGATCTAATCGTGAGGAAACTATCAAACCAACACAGATCATGGAACATTCTACAACACAACTGCCTAGACTCTTCAAAAATGAAATGTTATGAAAGATTAAGAAAAAAAAACAGGTCTCTTCTGATTTTAGGAAAGATATGACAATGACAACCAAATGTTATAGAGAGAAAGCAAATGTGGTAAAATGTTTGCGAGTGTTCAAGGTGTTTTTCTGTTATGTTACTGAGGACTTGAAAATTTTCAAACGAAACTTGGGATAGAAAGGGTGAAACTAAAGATGATAATAGATGTCTTATTTTCTTATTGAGTGACATCAGATTAGAGTGAGAAATGCACTTCATGTATTCATAAGCATTTATCAAATGTCCATGGGATATGGCTAATGTATAACTATTTACTTGCACCCGATATGGTATAGATTGTCCGTACTGAACCCCAGTCATGGCTCGGTCATTTCCTTTCCAGCCTTGCTATCTTGCCATGCTGCCCCACAGCTGGTTGACAAGGTACCACAGTCACTCAACGGAGCTGCTCAGGGTACTTACCGTGTAGTCAAAGCTGTGGCCATGGAAGTGAACTGTGTGCAGGTCAAATGCACTCCCCATGCCGATCAGATACCAGTTCACTTCATCCCCAACGTGCAACGTCAGGCCCTGGTTATTTCCAAACAGTCTTCCGTTAATTGCTGTGGGGGGACACAATTTATTATGAATATAGTAATTTGTTGAATAATGTTGAATAACAAGGATCTGAAATAAACCGGGTTTTTTAAAACACCTTGTAGAAAGTATCATGGATGTTTTCAGAGGCCATGAGGATTTTAAAGCCAGCCCAAGGAAGCTGTTAGACATGACCCAGCCATCCGTTCATGGATGTGTCTGATGCTAGAGAGTTGTTCTTGCCCGAGGAAACACAGCACTGACTTCGTCTTGACACAACGGGGCTGGACTAGAATATTTTACATCTAAGGATATTTAAATTGGTGGACACTTAAATATGTCTCTGGTTTAAAGTATATTTAAAATTATCACAAGAGGCTTAGAATATTACGAGCGTGTGTTCCCATTTAACCGCCTGAAGTCAGATCTTTGTGATCTGTCACTGGTCCACCCCCTCCCCTAATCCTCTACAGGTGTGGTTTCCAAGTGGTGAATAGGAGGAAAATACTAAAATAAAAAAATATATACATATATATATATATTTACACACACACACACACTTCTTTTTACTTTCTATTTTGTGTGTATCTTTTGAAATGCATAAAATGCGTTAACACAGAGGTGCAAACGCATCATTCATAACCATTTATCTATGGACAGTGGGCTCTAACTTTCAGCTGATGCACAGATGTAAGAGAGAAAACAAGGAGACCCTGCTTGAGAGCAGTACTTCTCCATCGAACTTTAATGTGTGTGTGGCCTGGGAATTTGTTAAAATGTAGATTATGATTTACTAGGTCTGAAATTCTGCATTTCCAACAAGCTCGCATGGGGTGCTGGTGCTTTTGGTCCACAGAGCATTCTTGGAGCGCAGATAGCTAGCTGACTGCCAGAGTTGTGCCTAAAATACACATCGATTCCTATGGTTCCCCAGCTCAGTGCCCGTGGTGCCTTTAGCACAGTGGTTCTCAGAAGGATTTTGTCCTCTGGGGGACATTTGGCAATGCCTGGAGACATTTTTGGTTGTCACAACATGGGGAAGGTGCTACTGGCATGTAGCGGGTAGGGGCCCAGGATGCTGCTAAACATCCTACAATGCACAAGACGGCCCCCACAAGAGTTACCTGACCCAAAATATCAATAGTGGCAGGCTTGAGAAACCCTGGTTTAGATCAAGTTTAAATTCTTAGCAATGTATTCGAGGTCTTCCACAATTCTGTTGGCTTTTTCCTTCCAGGTGCTGTGTAACTTTGCTCACATTCTTCCAGCTGCCTGGAATGTCATTCCTGTCCTTTTCTACTAGACAGACTCCTCTGCATCCTTACATACTCAGCTCAAATGTCTCCTCCTCTTCATGAAGCCTTTCTCGACCTTCCAAACAAGAATTTAAACCCAGCACTGTGCTTATATTTCTGTTACAGCATCCCCTCAAGTCAGCCTTGTATTGTAGCGATGCACCAGGCTGCCGCCCCTGCACTGGACACAGCTTGAGAGAAGATGCCCGGTCTATGGGCCTTTGTGTCTCCTTAGGGCCCAGCACGGTGCTTTGTGCCCTCTGTGAGGCTTATTAAAGGACTATGGGTAGAATGGATGTAGTCCTTAAATTAATTTTAAATTTACATGTATTTCTTGGGGGAAGAGAAACAAGTTGAAAAGGATCATGGTTGGCTGTGCCTTAGTTAAGCACCGCTTACCCATCATCTCCCTGAGCTTCCTCCAGTGAAAGGACTGGGGCCAGAAGCTTGACTGAGAGAGACTGATTCAGTGAGAGTGTCTACGAGCTTCTTACTCGAATAATTGTCTCATTATGGTAATTCGAGATAAGGGGAGGTCATAAACGGGATGTGTCTAGTCACAGTCCACCTATAAAAGAATTTGGATTGACTGGCATGGGGCTTTTAAAAGTTCTGCCTTTGGTAACAGGGTGAGGAAGAGTGGGTGGGGCCAGGTGCTGTCCAGTTTGCCCCAGCCCACCTCTCCCTGCGTTCATCTAGGTGAAACACTTAGAAAGGGGTGTGGTGCGGCCCCCCAGAAATGACAGCTGTTCTTGGTTTCGCGGGGCCCGCATGGCTCCAGGGGCATTCGAATTTGCCAGGCTGCTGTCAGTGATGTACAGCCCGCAGGCCAGGTCCAGCCCACTCACTGCCCGTTTCCCTATGGCCCACGAGCAAAGAATGGTCTTTACATTTCTAAATGGTTGAAAAGAAATCAAAGAAAGAAAACTATTTCCTGACGTGAAAATTACATGAAACACAAATCACAGTCTCCATAAATGAAGGTTCAGAGGCTCGCAGCCACCTCTGTTTGTTGACAGCCTGTCTGTGGGTGCTTTTGCCCTCCAATGGTGGAGGAGAATACGGTTTATGGCGGAGACAGCATGGCCTACAAGCCTCAATTCTTCACTATCCGGCCCTCTGTGGAGAAAGTTTGCTGCCCCTGGTCCACACGGTGTGCACCACAGCGCTACGTGCTCGCGTTCTCGAAACTGCGCAGTTTGACAAACGTGAACCTGTAACTGCTCCTTTTGTGCGAAACCACTGTCGGCGAGTCGGTTAGTGGTCATTACCGTGCATGAGGTTGCTGAAGAAGAAACTGTCATCATTCCTGTCTACTTGGCTCGGGTCTAGAGCATAGGTATTGATATTTTCTTCAAAGTACCAGGATTCGTTCTCATCAAAGGTCTTGAAGTGGAGAACACGGTGCACTATGCTGGCTTTGGCGTCTCTGCGGCATACGATCAAAGGGCCAATCAGTCCGCTGTTAAGATCCTGAGGACGCAGAGCAAGGTTGTTAACTGCGCCCACAGCCAAAGGCGTCCCCCAGCAACAGAAAAAGTAGAATCTAGTTTTAGTTTTAGTGAGGTCATATCCTGTGTTTTTAATTATTAGGATTCTAAGTCTGAGAGTGAGGAACAAAATGTTTGACATGTTAAATACTCGATTGAAGAAAAATGATCTTCTCACTACTGGAGCTGAAGTCAAGAGGACGACAAACTCCTGGAAGGGTTTTAGACACATTCCTCAGTGGATTTAGCCCTATTTTTGAAATTTTAATAAAAAAAATGGAACTATGGTCTTAATTGGAATTCCTGGCAGCGGAGTCGGCTGGCAGAGACGCGGAGAGGTCTGGATCCTCCCCCGCCTCTGCCCTGCGGCAGCTTCCGCTGGGAGCCCTGGCTTGTTTATACCTCTTTTGGTTTTGAATTGAACGTCTCTGTAGATTGTTGTTCCAAGCAGAGAGTGGGCCAAAATACCTATACATTCCACGACGGAAATTTGTTGTTGTTGTTGTTGAATGCAAATCCACTGGAACTCCAGAGTCGACAGTTTTAAAAACTATATAATTATGTGTGCATTTATTTCTCATTAATTACAGAATTTTGAAACTCTATACTTTGTTTTCCGTAACCCAAATCTTATTCAACGAAAGAAAGAAGAGGATATTATTATATAATTATATATATATTTTCCAATTTACACTGACATTTTGGAAAATATCATAAATCTAAGCAATCATAATATAATAATGTATTTTGCTATTGAAAAATGCAACCCTGCGTGGGATTAAAAGCTGAGCAGTATTTAGGTTACTTAATAGAAAATTTACATAGAACCAAGATTTTTTAAAACAAAAATAAACTCCTTCTTCTTTCCATTATAATTTCTAGGATGAGATAGGATAAAACCCGTGATTTGATTTAAGGCTTACCTTAACCACATCCACAGTTGAATAGTAAAACCAAGGTATGCACTCAAAGTCCTTTGAGGTGGGACCAGTTCTTTCAGGAACCTGCCAAACGTATGTTTGGATCTCTCCTAAAATAGGCCAATATAGAGTATTTAAGTCAAATCTTTTAAATCACACTTCTTTGTGGAGAACTGGATAACAAGCAAATGCTAAAGCTATATAAATATTAGGCAGCCCGGTCCTGGTTCCACCCCCGGCTCTCTTGCTCCCAGCTCTGTGATCCTAGTCAATGTGTTTGCGCTTCCTGAGCCTCTGTTCCTCCTGCATGTTAAATGGGGTGCAGGGATTAGAGGAGATGGGACAGACGAAGCCCTGGGTGTTGCATCACCTGGGCCACAGGCCTGTCTGTTTTTAAAATCAAAAAAGAATATTTAAACCACCATCAAAGTCTACCTTCATTCCCTCTGCCCCACAAATCTTCCCTTTCTGAATTTGGCTATTTCCTTGATATCCTTAATTCCCATAACTGCTTGTCTTGGTGGGCAACCATGGTGGACATTCTGGATGCCCCTCTCAGATTCCCCTTTAAGAAGGAAGGACTCGTTCTTCCACCAGAAGTCAGCCCCCTTCAGAGAGCCTCGGCTGGAGAGGCTTGCATCCACTGACTGATGCAGGGGCATAAAGGCCCAGCTCTCTCGCCCCAGCTCAGGACAGCTGAGGGCCACCCATCTTCAGAACTTCTCGTAAGAATGGCTGAGACTTTTACTGAGGCTGCTGCTCTGCTCAATCTTTCCCCCTGCCCAATTCTGCTTCTTTCTCCTTCTTTGCACAGCTGTGGAACCCAAGAGCAGTACCTGCACACAGATCTTCATTTCAGAGTCTGCTTCCTGGGCAATGATATTGAAAAGGACTCATTTTCTTCTGAGTTGAGAATGCTGAATGGCATGTTGTATAGTTGGGATGCCATAGAAATGTTAATATGTAAGGTTTATCACTTCCTCTTAGTGGCTCAACCCTCTCCCTTGTCCCCTCCCTCATATAGTGTCTTATACTCAACTCCTACTTTAGCACTTGAGTTGGAGAGATTGAACGTAGCATCAGAATGACTGGCAGCTGGACAGGAGGAGAGGCGGGAGGGAGGGTGGCCCTGGAGAAGAAACCGTATACACTGAGGAGTTTTGCCCATGATGCCCCATCCTGGAAGCAAACTCCGACTCGCAAAAGGACCTCCTCTCCCAGACTCCTTCTTCAGGCCCTTTTTACTAGTCCATGGGCCCCTCATCTAGACCTAACCTGTATTCAGGAAAGAACATTAGCCCCACGGTCCTGCATGAAAGCTCTGGGACTTTTCTTTCTCCCAAAGCAGTTACCTGGCTGTGTTGGAGCAACGGTGGAAGAGTTGGTTTTCACTCCATGAGCATGAATAGAATATGGTCTTGAGGCGTTATTTTTAAAGATAATTTGGAGTTTTTGACCAGGGTTGAGAAATATTAAAGGACCTAGGGAATATAAAAAGGATAATTGTTTTTTATTTTGAATGATGAGTCACCTGTCCTCGTAAGTATTTATACAGTGACTTATTCTTGTCCTTTTCCTAACATGCAGCCAAATGAAACACAAACACATTTAACAAGGGGATCATTGCTGATTTACAAAACATGGTTTTTGCCTGGAAAATTTAAGCCGTCTAGAATTTCTATAAGCTCCCGCTCTAGAAAATGTACACTGATGAGCATTCGTGAACGCCTATGAAAGCACGCAACTCAGAAACACTTATTTCCCCTCTGACCAACCTCATCATTTGAGCCTTCTGCTCTTCCTCCTTCACCCTGGAAGAGGACGGGGAGAGGCTGCTACACTTTTTATGGGCCCAGGGTGCTTTTCTCTCTCGTGGACTAAAGATTCCTTCATTTTACTCTTTTTTCCCCCCATCCCAGGCCGAGAACTAGAGGGATAAAATTTGTTATAAATCTTCTTTCTATTTGGAAGATTGAATTGGTGGCTATAAAAATTCTGAAACAGAGATGGTTTTGAGATGAACTAAGCAGTAAGAACTCTCCTCACACTCGTGCTTTGGTACCACCATCAGAGCCGTGAAGGGGCCCGCTGGACACTAGACACCAGCTAAAGACAGCGCCTCTGCGCCCTATGGCAAGCCTGCCTTCCCAAACACTGCGCTCGCTTTTCCTTTTCCATAAAGTGTTTTCCTTTTTTGTATAAGTAATAATGAAATCAAGAGGGTCATATTGTGTTTTTTATTTTGGTGCATTTGACCAGAATCCTACAGAAAACAAACATCTTGCTGTTAATTACATATAGGGGCCCACGCAATAGCAGTGGGATCTAGATAGCACAGACCCCTCCTGGGGTCACAAAGGGACAAGCTCAAGAGGCCACTGAGGAGCCAAGAAGAATAAAAGTTCTTCCTCCTCAGCATGTAAATCCATGTCCTCAGAGTCCCACTCCAGAGAACGGCCTCCGATAGACACACAGATCATCAGGACCCGAACAGGATGTAAGCTTATGGAAATGCCAGGTGACTTTTGGAAATACTGTGCAACATACAGAAATGCCATATGACATAGGAAAACATCATGTGACCTATGGACCTGCCATGTGACTCCTGGAAATTCCTTGTGACTTATGGCAATGTTACATGTGAGTGCTTGGGGGTGAAGAAACGGCTGTAATTTCCCTCACTCTTGCACAGAAGATGAAACTAAATCTTAGACAAAGAAGTCCCCCTCTTCATTATAGTAGTGCTCCTGGGCTTTGTTTTAATTTCAGTGTAATTATCTCGGAATGCTACTTCTAAGGTCCCTCTGGAATTCTTGGATTCTGCGCAGAAGAAGCCAGGTCATCTAAAACTGACCAGATTAATTTTCTGTGGTCTCTTTATTTTCCATGAAACAATACTTGAATCATTTTCTTTTCCCAGTAAAAGTGCCTATCAGCAGACAAATTAGAGTTAGAATTACAGGCACTTTCCCCGTCCAGGTGGAGGTTGACAAAATCCTCAATGTGTGCGACAATCTCTAGAGGCTGAGGACAAGAAAAACCCCAAAACCAATCTACAGTATATCAATACCTAGCATATCCAGATGTTTTTCATCTTCATTTCTTTTTGTTTGATTTGTGAATGTGATGTCATCATATTGACGGTATACGACTTTCTTGTATTTGGACCCGAGAAACATCCCAATTCTATCCAAATATATGTTTGTTTTGCTTTAAGAAAACAAAAACAAAACCCACAAATTAGTTAACTGAACCATTAAATTAGACAAATTCCCATATGGAAGAAATTCTTCTTGAAAGAATGCAATTTATTACTGTCTAGAGGCTATTTTACTTTGGAAAGTAATTCTTTTTCAAAAAATACATTAATTCTGGTAAGATTGTTGGATATTCATTCTGTACTTTAAAACTTGTTTTCAGGATAAAATTTTAGTTTTGATAAATGAATAAATAGTAAGAAAATCAGAGAAAGAAATAAAATTTTACAAAAGGAGAAAAATCAGAGTCTTCAATTTGAGGGTCCCAGAAGAATAGAGAGAGACAGAAATAAGCGAAGACAGAAGGAAAATCTGACTGATTCCACATATTAACTGCAGCTGAAGTGATGTTCATTGTGCCGCAAAGTGGTGAGACTGGATGCTAACACATACGGGAAGACAGGAGGCAAGAGGAGAAGAGATGCACAGGAAGAATAGCACAGCAGAAGTCAGTGACCCAGATATTTAGGCAGATTTGAAGTCATTCATAATTGAAGATATCGCATACACACATTTTGAAGTTATTTGTAATTGAATGTATCCTAAACACACACACGCATAGTGCACACACATATCATTCCACACACAAATAAACACGTGCGCGCATGCGCACACACACCCACACACAAGAGGCGGAGAGGAAGGGTGGAGGACTACAGAACAAACTCTTCCCTATTAGAGATTGAAGTACTCGCCGTACTTCTCTCCTTGTAAACGATGCAGTTCCTTCTCCCACTTCCTGCTCGGAGAATAATCCCACACAATTTCCTCGGCCGCAATGTAAATAGTCTTCTCTTCCTGGTACTGTGTTTGATCAGGGCTGGGCTCCAAACACTCCCTCACTCGGTATTTATCCTTCATGCCTCCTGTATAGTGCTCTGCTGTCATACAAACCACATCAAAAATCCCTAGGGGTGAATAAGAAAACAATGCTTAATGCTTTGCATTCAGATTTATTTGTGTGTGACGTCATCTATAAGATATAAACCCCCCAAAGAAATATAGGAAGATAGTTCATTCCTTCTTTCATTAATTTGACAAATGTTTATTGGGTATCTTCTTTATGCTGGGTATATTTCTAGGCACTTGGGAAACATCAGCAAACAAAACAATTAAAAACCCTTCTCCTTAGAGTTTCTGTTGCAAGGTGTTGTAGAGACAGACAGTAACCAGAGTGAGTAACTTTTCTGTGTTTTGGAAGGTGATAAGTGCTATGGATTTAAGAAAAAAGTAGAAGAGTGTGAGGGGGATTGAGAATTCTGGGTGTGCCGGGGGCTCAAGGGAGCAATGAGCACTAGCTCATAGGATGATCAGGGTAGGCCTCGGTGGGAGAGTGACATTTGGCAGGAGACTCACGAGAGGTGAGGTGGATCTCGGAGAAGAGCCAGGCAGAGGAAACAGGTGGCAAGACCCGCCCGCCGGGGCCTGCGTGATGTGTCTGGAGGCGATCTAAGATGCCTGCATGTCTGGAGTAGGGTGGCTGAGAGGACTGGCGGACAAGCGTAAGGGTGGAGGGCTGGGTCATGGGGTTCTCGTGGGCGACTGAAAGTCTGCGCCTTTCACCCGGTGAAACGGGGAGCCACTGTGGGATGCGAGTCGAGGAGGATGATAAGGACACTCCGGCAGCTGGGGTAAGAAGAGGCTGGAATGGCAAGGGTGGAAGGAGGGACACTGTTAGGAGCCTATGCAATAATCGATGAACATGATGGTGGCCGGGATCAGGAGGTAGCAGCGGAGGAAGTGCAAGGAGTTGAAGGGAATCAGACCAATATGTCAAAACTCCAAAGCAACGACCACAACAAAAACTCCAGCACGGTTCAGACCAGTGAATTCCACCGGAATTCCAGTCATCTTTCTTTTATTTTGGTAACTTTGTGCTCATCACGTTCTGACACTGCCTCTTAATGTTACCCTTCATCAGCACTAACACTCCTTCAACTCTGTACATGTTTCTGTTGTTGCTGTTACTTTCTGGGAGGATTGAAGAAGACTAACAAGGAAGCCAACTTTCAGATTCAGAGGGTTTGGGAAAGAGAGTTTGTTTAAAATGAAATGACTCCTGTGTAGCCCAGCGCTTGCCACGGAGAGGCGTCTCCCCACATTCCCAGCAAGTGATACTGGTTAGGAAAGAGAATGAGGAGCAGGAAATTTCTCTTTAAGCCCAGGAAAACATCCGCAGGGGAAAGGGGAGGAAGAAGTGGGGTGGGGGCTGGGACTGACTTGTCACTGAGCAAGTACGCAGAGCAGAGAAAGAGGGTGCAGAAAGAGCTCTTTCTTTTTTTCCTCCAATTGCTCTCAGTCTCAGGTTTTGTTTGTCTGAAAGTGAAATAAATGTTGAAATGTAGGAAATGTAGTCGGATGAGTCTGTGGTAAAGAGCTAAGGTACCAACCCATGGTATTTATAGAGTAGCTGGTTGACTGCATGTGACTGTGTAGCCAGGCTTCGATTGGTGCCAGGAGCTTTTGACCAAGATGAATGGATTTTTTAATAATAATAATTATTATTATTATTATTATTTTTGGTGAAAGTGGATCTGCAGGATAAAAGAAGGAGCTAACATTTTATTGGAAGTCTAACATGCTCCATCTATCTCATCTGATTGTTGTCTATTCCTTTTTGTGGATTACAAATCATTACAATCTATTTTACAAATGAAGCAATTAGCTTCAGGGGGGTGCTTGGCTCCTATGATCCCCCTAACAATTCTCTGATGTAAAGTGCGTTTTCAAAAAAATGTTGCCAGCAACAATCAGCCTCCTTGAAGTCAAAACATTTTCCTAGAGAGCAAAGCCGGCAAGGAGCGGAGTAGAGAGAGGCAGGCAGAGGGAGTAGGCAGGGTAAGGTGGAAGCCGGAGGAAGGTCTGGAACAAACAGACAGGAGAGTAAGAAATGCAGCAGATAACAGGATGAAAACAAGCCACAAAGCTGCAAAGCCTCTTCATCGCTTTTGAGGAGCGTGGGTTGGTTCAGAGCCTGGAGACCAGGAGGAGAAACCCGGGGGAGTCAAGGGGATTTTTCTGTACAGGAAAATGATATACTAATGCTCCTATAAACTGAATGAAGCAGGACAAAGGTTTTCCAAGCACTGTTTGCATAAGTTCCATTTTTTTCCATACAAATAGAATATTCAGTGCATATAAAGACGCTGCCTTTTCATACCTTGGACATGCTTTAGGCTGAAGAAGATCCACTACTGACCTGTGGAATCAGGTGTCATAAGAAGCGTCTGGGAGGTGTGGGGAAACACAGCTAGCGTGTCCTCCCTTGCTCCTAAGGAAGTGAAGGTATTTCCTGAGAAATAGATCCCATGTAGGTCACTCACTGATCCCACGCTGAGGACGTGCCATGAAACGTTGTCTCCTAAGCACATGTCCAGTCCGGGCAGATTTCCATACATGTATCCATTTAGGGCTGCACATTTGTAACAAAGAAATGAGAATTTACTTTACTGGTACCTGACATCTTTTGAAACTCAGAGAAGGCCTATTCATAAGCAGTTCATTCAGGTAAGAATCTCGAGACTCTCCGAGACAACATTTCCTTTTGGATTTCAGGGAACTTGTCTGCTGTCATTAAGCTAATGAACGGAACTACTAAGACTAGAGTTCGAGTCTCCAGATTCTAGACCAATCCTTTTCCCACAACCAACCAACTAACCAACCAACTCGACAAACACCCCTCCCACCCACTCCACTCATTTGCCAATAGAGAAATTCATGACTTTTCGGTCTCACATTTAGCAATAGCTAAAACACTGCATGCACCAAAAAGGCATTGATAAATATTTGGTAAATTGAATTTAACATAAGCAGCTTGGTAGACAATATTTTTACTGGGAAGTCATATTTAAAGGAAACATAAAACGTATTAGCCCACCACAGGGGGAAAGTGTAAGTCTTTCTTAAGCAATCTGTAATTCTTTAGGCAAAATGAAATTAAGCAATTGTTCAATGCATTTATCTTGTAACTGAAATGTTCCCTTACTGTACATCATGTTAGAGTTTTGGAAGCCTGGATCCTCTTTATCCACATTTTCAGGCTCTGTGGTAAATGCTCTGATATTCTTATCCAAGAGGAAACTTTCATTTTCATCAAATATTGTGGCCAACAGGTAAAACTCTTTGTCTATTCCTTTCTGAGGATGAGAATGGACAAAGGAACAGACATGAAGGACAGCGGTCTATTTTCAAAGTCTAGTCAAATGGCTGATCTGCACACAGGATTTCCCTTAGAAGGGGATTTGTATACTCCTGAAAAATCTGATCAATTGATTTCCCCTCTTATGGACATTTTATATAAAGGCGTGAATCCTAGTGAACTAAAAAGTTGGGAGAAATCTCTATGGCTGTTTTTATACAAAGCTATCACCCAGGGACCCCCACATCTGAACTCCATAAAACTAAACTGTATAATCACAGATGTTTACAGTGGCCTTTCATAGGATGCTTTTTGGAAAGTGAGTCAAATAAAATGTTTTCAACTCTAGAAAGCCTACATTTTTAGGGTTTATGAAGAAATTAAATGTGTATACATACTTACATTTTTGGATAAAATGTAAAAATTATATATACTATAAGACTTATGAGACTATTTCATATGAGTTTCATTATATGGATGAATATAAATATATAGTCACAATTTTAAATAAAATATACATTCGATTACATATATACTTATATTTGGGGATTTATAAGGCTTTCTTACATATGAATTATAAATGCAGAAAAGAACTTGGGTATGAATTCACTTGTGAATGAAGAACAAGGGAAATTCATGCATTAGGCATTTCTTGAGCACCTATTATATGCTAGAGAACGGCCGTGGTTGTTACAAAACACTAGTAATTAATATGCTTTCGAGGAACTTTTAGTCTGGTGGGAGAGACCAGCCAGTGAAAGTAATTGCATGATTGAGCGCTCTAAAAGAAATCTCCACAAGGAATCATGGTGACCCGTGGGAACACCAACTAACGTTGCAGAATATTGTCTGAAGGGAAAGAAGGGACCCTCCATCTGAATTTTAAAAATGTCTCCCGTTTTATCCGGTAAAACGGTGAGGAAGGCCATTCTAGAGAGAAGGGCAAGGTCAAAGAGAGGTGAATGAGCCTTCTTCACTCAGGGACTAACAAGCTAGTCCTGCAGTAAAGCCAGAATGGCGTGTGCAAGGTCAGGGGTGGGGGTGAGGTGCAAGGTGGGGGGTTGGGCGGTGAATCAGGAGGGTCTGATGCGGTGGCTCCTGAGCCAAGAAATCGTAGGGTGATTTAAAGTGTGGAGAGTGCTATAATCAGATTCGAAAGGGAGGGATGTGGCGCTATACTGAAGGATGAGAGTGGGGACAGGAGTTAGCGGGTTAAAGGAATTCAGAAGGAGATGATGGTGCCTAACATAAGGCAGTGGTATTGGAGATTTAGTGACTAATGTTGGAGATGAGAAAGAAGGGGTTGCTGATAGAAGTCCCAGGCTTGGTGGTGTCATTAACTAAGAGACAGAGTAAAGGAAGAAATGCTGGCTTAGAAGAGGGAGAGATGGGTGGTCGCCGTCCAGAGGGAGATGGAGGTTGAAAGTCAAGTGGAATGAGAGATGACTGTGGAACATTCCAGGATGGGTGTACATTGGGCAGAGGAAGACACAGGTCTGAGGTTGAGGAAAGAATGGAGTCACACAGAAGAAGCTGAAGCTGCTGCCTGGCACGTTGCCTCCCCCTGCAGTCCGGTCTCAGGCAACCTCTCACCACGGCAGCCCTGCGTGTGGGTCCCATGACTCGCCTGTTTGCCCTCGTCTCCAAGACTTCCATTTCTGCACACGAGGAGAGGCCCCACAAGGCCACTGTGGGTGTCTCTTGTCCCATTTACTGAGGAGTAGTATAACCAGGTCAGGCAGTTGGGATCCGTGGAGGTAGGACCCACATCTCTTGGAACTTCCCAGGTGTAGACAAAGGTTGTACCAGGATTTACATGTGAGGAGGGTGGAGGGGCACCTAGTAAGAAATAAACATTTGTAAACTAGGACCCAGGACCAAAAGTACTCTCGTCTGGGCTGTGAGATCTCTGGGAGCACCCTGGGTGACAGTTGAGAGGGGCTGAAGGACTCACTGCCACAGTAAGTACACAGAGCCGTTACGACGTGGAAGGTGGGCTGCACAATAATTTTTCTTGCCGATGCTACGTTGCAGCGTGGCTGTCTCGGGCCCCCCTGGAGCCCCACTTACCCCCTCCAGGTGTTCTGTAGAATGAGCCCTCGTTGCTCTTGTTGTAACGCAGGCCGTGAGGATGAATGCTGAGCGGCAGGGAAGCGTTGTTATAGAAAGTGACCTCGATGATCTGTCCCACCTCTGCCTTAATGACAGGCCCTGAAACCAACAGAGTTAGCAGTCCTTGGTTTCCATAAACGTGGTTACCAGGTTGTTTTACTTGGGTAAGGTTCTTCTAGGAACAAATGAGAGGGATGATGCTCTGAAACAGAAATGTGTCCCACTGCAAGAGGCCTAGATGGTTCAGGGTCTTAGAAAGTCACTTTGGATCACATGAATATAGTAATCTTAGTGGTTTTACAGGGACAAAAGAATGTAGGTTAAAATTGGGTGAATCAGAATGTATTGTTTCATAACATTATAAGACGACAGCTAAAATCTCTAAAACTGAGTTGGTTAATACTATTTTGATTGCACCGAATTTGTATACGTAGTGTTTATAACCCCGCAAGCCATGAATAGAATTTTACCAAGAATTCCCAGGTGCTCTGCTCTTGCCTTCTGTGTTCGGAAGGAAGCATCTGTGTATTCACGGTAAACTAGTTTTTTGTAAGTTCCTCCAATTCTGGTTGGGCTTTGTTCAAAATATGGCTGGGATTCACTGTGCAGAGAAAGCAGATACAAAAAGAACTTTAAATTTACAGTGATCATGTGAAGAAAAAGCAAGACTCCACATTCATCTGTTTTAAAGTACTTGTAATTTATTTATAAAAGCAATGCATCCTCATTGTAGGAAATTTGGAAAATAAGGAAAAGTATCACAAAGAAAATTAAAATCTCCATAACCCCATCATCTATATATAACCATTATCAATATTTCCATGGATATCCTTTCAGTCTTTTGTCTATGCCTATGTATCTGCTGCCAATCCTCCTCTTTTTTGCTGAGGAAGACTGGCCCTGAGCTAACATCCATGCCCATCTTCCTCTGCTTTCTATGAGGGACACCTGCCACAGCATGGCTTGAAGAGCAGTGCATAGGTCCGCACCAGGGATCCGAACCCACAAACCCTGGACCACTGAAGCGGAACATGCAAACTTAAGCCCTGTGCCACTGGGCCAGCCTCTACAAATTTTCTTTTGGAATAAAAATTAAAAAGACATTATGTTTGATTTTTTTCAGGCAGGTAGTAACAAACACTGCTTTTAAAACAACTATGTGCAGAGATGCTGGAATATTAAGATGAGAGGTGTTGTTCTTTTTTCATTCTATTATAATAAAATAAAATAGAACCCCCTGAGAAAAAGTGTTCCCTAGCAGGGAAGGGTGACTTGTGGTGCTAAGACATCACAGATTTCATCGCCAGGAGAGCCAAGCAAGCCGAAAGACTCTCTTGATTCGTACTGATTTTAGCCAATATAAAATGAGAGTTGGACCCAACTCTGAATCAAATTTTTGCACTAAGCCCAGATATCTTTCTCACAATTAATACAAAATGTCCATTACCGAGACTGAATAATTTATTGATGAGCTTAAAATATAAGAAGAGAAAATATTCGCTTGATATAACATTCTTAGTTTTCTCAAATTTTCTGTGAATGAATTAGAGAAAAATCAATACTATGGGAAACATTATTTTTTGGTGATTTTAGAACTCGATATTTTCTGACACATAACTTTCATTCAATAAACCAGAAGGATTAAAACTCCTGTAATCTTCAAATTGGTAAATATATTTAGCAGTTGGACTATTAGAAAAACTTTTGTGCACTTTCAAAGCCTGATGCCACAGTCATGTATGTTAGTTTTAGTTTTTGGTCACTAAGGTAGCAATTGGTATACATTCTTAGGTGTTATTGAATAAAAAATATTTACATAATATGATTTAAGGATGTCACAGGAAATGACTTAATTATCCTTTCAGATCTTAGCAGGAAAGTATAAATTACACATGAGGAATGCTTTCAAATATTTGTAAAATTGATGTTGGTAACATTGCCCAGTATGTTGTTGAATGTCCCAAAATAATAAAATAAATTCATTTAAAAATTTAGTGCTGGGAGAAAGATGAGCAGTACGGTCTCCTTTGCCTTGGCTGCCAAGGCGTTTAAAGAAAAACTTCGTGTGGCAACGATCCTTAGGATCAATATTTTGCAACTATTGACAACATTATTTTCCTCTCTTTATTTTCTCAGTATCTTTTTACGATAAGATGCCTCACCCCTTTTTAGGAGTAGCTGGTTACGAAAAAGTTCGGTTATCCTTATTTAACCATAAATATTGTAATCTCTGAAGCATTACCTTCCAGCAGCAGTTAAATTTTTTTTAGTGAAGAAATCTATGCCAGACGGAGCATAGTTCCAAGAAATTTCTTCAGCAGCAATATAGTAACGGACAACACGCGTCCCAGTAAGATCTGTCGAAGGTTTTTGGCAATTTCTTACACTGAAAAAGGCCTGCATAGCCTCTGAAAAATAGCCCACCCAAGTAGAGAACGTTATTAAACATTTTTCTTAGTCCACATATATTTTTAATCTTAGCCAACAATATGGAAACTTCCCCTTTCTTTGAGAAATTTGAGGTATTTTATATATGGAATCTGCGTAAAAATCTAAAATGTATGAAGCAAGTATAAAGACCGGGGTGCAAGATGGACATTAGAGGAACGCATATGACCTGAGCATAATAACCAGCGTTGGACCAACCCCTGCATGAAGACGGCACCTTCCTACCAAGACGAATTTGAGTTTATTTGGCCAAAAACATCTTCCCTCTTGGGTATGAAATTGCTACGATTAGTCACCAACAAGTTAGTTATTTTACTAGACGAACTAGTTGGCAGACAGCAGGGAAAACAAGGAGGTCCATTTCCATGAGGGCATCGGTCCCGTGTCTGGATTTCAGAGCATCGTTGGTGGCAGTGTAAACTAGCATAGATGTTTTGGAATGCAGTCTGGCAGCATTTGTTAAAATTAAAAACCCTCCCATTATATAACTTCACTTCTTGGTAATTAGCCAAGAGAAATAGTTGTGCATAACATAAAAAGAAACAAATAAAAAGGTGTTAGCTATAATATTGTTAATAAGGCAAAAAAGTAGAAGCAATTGAAATGTCTATCAGTAGGCAAATGGTTAAATAAATTAGGATACATCTCAAATACGGAAAACGATACAGCAGGTTAAAAGAATATGTTAGACATATGGGGAATGTCATGGAAAAGGTTTCAAGACATACTGATGAGTGAAGAAAGCAAGCAGCTGAATATTATATGCAATGTGATCTACTTACGTAAAACAAAACAGAAAACATTAGCTATGTATTTCATTCCTTTTTTTTTTTTTTTGAGGAAGATTGGCTCTGAGCTAACATCTGTGCCCGTTTTCCTCCACTTTATATATGGGACGCCTACCACAGCATGGCTTGACAAGTGGTGCATAGGTCCACGCCCAGGATCCAAACTGGTGAACGCCGCGCCACTGAAACGGGGCACGTGAACTTAACTGCTACACCACCAGGCCAGCCCCACTATGTATTTCTGTTTTCACATATTCATATATATCAGGTGAAAACGCATAGTAAACAGGTTTGCAAGTATTCACACCTAAGTTATTACAGCGACTACTCTTTGGGGAAGGAAGGGGGATGGTGGTGGGGTCAGGTCGGACTAATGGTGTGTCCTTAAACCAGCGCTCTCAAGACAAACACAAAATCTGATTTATTTGCTAATTTTTGTGGTGTAAACACTCCCACTGTGGCCCATTTGAAGCCACCAAGAGTTTACTAGCTGGCTTATTTAACTCTCAGCTCCCTTGAGCTGGTACGAGCTGGCGCCCACATACTGTGCCACTTCAGACTTCCGCTTTTACTGCCTGCTGCCCCCCCCCCCACCTAATTCTCCCTCTCTCCCTCCTTCCTTCCTTTCCTTCCAGCAAAAGTCTGTTCATGTATTCTTATAATTACATTTAAAAAAAAAGGCTGCAAGTAAATTAAAACAAACAAACAAATAACCGTAGAACACAGAAAGAGAAGAAACACAGGAGAAAATTCTGGAGTCGATCAGCCAAGGAGCTTTCAGAAGCCTTCTCCATTGTGCCTGGGGCTGACCCCAGGCTTCCTGCAGAGCTGAGGGGAACAGACTCGTCCTGAAGGCACCATCTGCCAAGGAGGTAAATAGGAGGAGTGGGGCTGAGGGCACATTTTAATCCCCAAAACGACATGCCTTTCTAAGTGGGAACAGTTTCATCACGAAATTCAGTCCTTGAGTTACAATAGCTGTGTGTGGTTCTCTTTTCCCCCACAGCCCTGGGAGGGACACAGCACATAGGAAATCCTGATAAACACTTGCTGTTCAGTTGCTCAAATAATTAGCTGAAGCATGATGTCAACCCAAGTATGGGACTTAGAAAAAAGAAAGGTTTTGATGAGAGAAGTAAATCTCATTTTTGAACAAAGAAACAAAAGTTGAGTTCTTCAGTTCTAAGAACAATCATGTTTTTCTGACTGAAAAATGAAACAAAATATTTACATGATTATATGTAGAGTTTGGGTCATATTTGAGAGTAGAAAAGATCGATAACTTTATAACCGGCCATCCTGACATTCAATGGGGAGTGTGATTGAAAGGGAAATCAGCTAAAATAAGGAGGTTTCCTGAGTACTGGATGAGAATGATCTGGCCCTACGTAATTCCTGGCTCTGCTTCTTAGAGGGTTTGGGGCAAGTGTTTTAACCTCTTGGAACTTGTTTCCTCAATTAAAAAAAACTAATAATACCTGCTCTCTCTGACACTCAGGTTCTTGTGAGGCTCACAGGCCAATGAATATAAAAGGGTTTTTTTGATAAAAACAATAACAAAAAACTCCTATATCCCTAAAAGGGTTTATTATCATAGAGTTAAGAGTGTCAGAGACCCGGGTTCCAGTCCTAACCTTGTCACTGACTTTCCAGAAGGCAATCCTGTCACCTCCTTGGCTGTCAGTTTCTCCATTTGGAAGATGAGGCATTTGTAACGGGTTGTACCTTTAGAAGTTCTCTGACCTTGTAGTGTGTAAAAGTAATAAATCCTTACCATGTACCTGGCAGTCCAGCATCCACTCTCCAGGACCCTTGGCCACCATGAAGGCATCTACCAGTGAGGCGGGGAAGATAGTAATGGTGTCCTTCCTGTGATTCCGAGAGATGAGCGTTTGTCCGTGGAGATAGATGGGGTGCATGTCAGACCCATCGCCCATGCCAACAAAATACCACTTGACCTTGTCCTCTGCACACATGGTGAGATTCGGCAGATTTCCATACATGTATCCGTTTATCGCTGGAAACAAACAGATGGTAACCTATTGAGCACGGTAGGTCAGGGCTGCTTCCTCACTATGTAAACCTCGTTGTGTCGACATTGTGCTCATGCATAATCTACGACAGGATCTGATTTGTGTTTCACAAAAAAGGAGGCCATAAACATCGTATGTGATTAGAAGTGATGGGGCATGAAGGTTTAGAGGCAAGAGGATGGAAAGTCAGCTGACAGGCAGGAAGCAGTGAAGAGGGGAAGAGAACAGAAAGAACCCAAGACTGTGAAAAAAGAGACAGGATAAAGGCGACGAGAGAACGAGAGCACCTTTTCTGAAAAATTCTACACAGAAGCACGTTTTCATAAAATAGTCAGTCACGTCTTTGTTCTTCCATAATATTTTGCTACCTTAAAATCGCATCTTTTCTATGTTCTTACCATCTACTTTTTATCAATATCAGGCTTCAGAGAACATTTGCATCTGCCTGACCTTGCTTGCTATGAAACTTTGGAAACCGGCAGGATTTACTAGATGTCTTGCCTATCAACCAACAGACCCTGAAAGACTGAAAAATCTCAGCTCGACTAAACAACTTGATCAAGGGAAGTCACTAAACAGCATCACAGAAGTCAGAATTACAGGACACTGAATGAGAAAGTTCTTTTTAGTCTTACAGCTCATGCGATTGCTCTCCTGGAAGCCAGGATCACTGCTGTTAACTTGGCCAGATTCAGTATACGTTTTAATGTTGTCATCGATATACCAGCTACTGTTTTCATCAGTTGTAGAAAACAGCAGAACGTAAGACCGGTCGATATTTTTTTCGACGTCTCCATCCAGTGTGCCTGAAACAAAAAAGAAGAGCAAAACTTCCTCTTTGCAATGATTATTTTTGCTATAAAATAAACTGACGGTTCTAACTGATCAGACCTACACACACGGAGCCCTAGGGAACCAAGCAGGCAAAAAACAGCAGACAGCCTCTCGTCTTCCTGCTTCCTCCCACCCTGCTGATTCAACATTTCTCCGTAGTAGAGACAAAGCTGGCAGCAATTTTGTGCTAAGGGGGCTAAGGTGAGGTTTACTGGGTTTGACTGCCATCTAGTGACCAACGTGCATTATTGGACTGGAACTGGGCTGTTGGACTCACGATCGCCATCTAGTGCTCGGAGCCCAAGATGGCAACTTGACTTTCTGGACCCGGAGCCTGAAGGTCCAGGCAGGAAACGGGCGCTCATTGGATAGCAAAATTCCTCTGGGACAGGAAGGGACAGCCCACATACTCCGGTTGACTCTATTGCTACAAAAAGATTTGAAAAATATGTTACCTCTTTTACAAGTCAGAATTGGTCCAATAAGTCCCGAAGCCACATCTTTTGGAGTGACTATATGGGAGTGGTAAATCCTCGTCACACAGTTACTGTCATTGGGGCCGGGGCCCTGATTTTCTTCCACATGCCATTTGTAAGTATACTGTTTCCCTGGCTCCAGACGGTCGTCTTTCTTTTGCAGGGCGGTAGTATTATCAGGATACAGAGCACCTAGAAATCGTAACCTGCACTGCAGTCACAGTAACCATCAGACAACACTCTTTTGAACATGACTTATGCTTCCACCGTTAAGCCACAAATGTATGTGAATTTGTGCTTTTAGAATAAGGTGTGCATTTCCCCCCTCCCCTCTCCTGTCTTCTGTCTCCCTAGATCCCCCGAAGTTGGTTTCCACATAAATGCCCAGCTTGGCCAGTTTCTAGACTAAATTGGAACACGGCAGGCAGTGTATTAGCAAACTATCGTCACCTTTATTGGCAGACCCCACAAATATCTATTGTGCACCTTCTGTGTGCCTAGATCTTGGATATTGAGATCCAGCCTCCTGAGTTGCCCTCCATATTTTCTTCACTGCAAGTCAGACTTGGGACCCAGGGCATCAAGACGCATCCACATTGCCTCCAAATAGCCATTGGGGTCCCAAGTGGCCCTCTGCACGGCTTACATTACCCTGAGCTATTACCTTGGTTCTGAATCTTGGGCCTTGTTCTCCTTTCTTTCTTCTTCTCTTCGAATTTCGCCTCAGATCTCCACCTCTGAGGCTGCAACCCTGACAACTGCGGGTAAAGTTCCTTCACTCAGGAGAAGACTTTGGAGCATGGCAGGCCTCTCAGCCTTTGCTCATCCTTTGGGACGCTTCTGCTCCATGTTGAACACAAAGCCCTATCTGCTGACTTTCTCTTCCCTTTCTTTTCCGCACACCTTCAGGCAGTGGTGACTGTTGATGTCTCGGAGAGAAGATACTGTCTCGAGAATAGGCACTTCTCTTGATACTGATGTTTTCCAAGAGGCTAATCCTCCTCTACTAGGAAATGGAAATGAAAACAGTATTTCTGCCAACCTAACATGTAGCTTGTGGGTGTCTCCTATACACTACTATTATTATTCGTGTGCGCGTGAGTGAGAAGCATGTGTTCTTTTCCAGGAATTGCACACGGCTGGTCACTCGTTTAAGATGAGAAATTGGAAGGGGACTGTCTTGGATATAAACATTAAAGACATCAGAAGTAAGTCTACACTGACCTCAAACTACTCCCAGTTCAGAATGATGACCAGTCCACCACCACCTTGCTTTTCCTAAGGCGTTGGGCTCACACTCTCCATAAGCAAAAGCTGAGAAATGTGAAAAAAGAGGATCACTCACCTTCGTTTTCTTTAGTGTAGGAGACTCCGTGAGGATGGAAGCCATAGATTCTTGAAGCAAAATTTTTTACTTGTACGTAAATGAAGTCTCCCGTCTCTGCCTTAATTATTGGTCCTAAAAACCCCAGCCAGGATGGTTTTTCAATGATTGCTTGAAATGTGTCATCGGCATACTGAAAGTACAAAGCCTTTTTATAGACAGGCCCTATCCTATCTCGGCCTTGCCGTAGATATGTTTGGGATTGATAGTCTCTGTAGAAAATAAACATAAAAAGGGAGAACCTTAACAAATTTTGACTGGAAAGAAAACAGTGTTCAATCAACTGAAACTAGAAGTCAGAAGCTTTTTAGCCCAATTTTGATAAAGAAAACTCAGACACTGAGAAGATCTGAAGGAAGGCAATAAAACTGTTGTAGGCAAGGAGAATGTTGGCGTGGCTGAGGAAGAGATCAAGTACAAGTGTAGCAAGAATATGTATGGCATTTTGGTTTAAAAGACTTACCAAATTCTTTGTAATCAACCACGGAAATGTCTCTCACTCCACTTTGAGGTTACGTTAGCTCTCAAGTGTGGGTTAAGCAAGCCTTATGACTTAAGATTGTTTACACATTTAAATGGATTTGTGGATTTGTTGGTAGAATTGAGGGCATTTAGGCCCACAGATGTAATAAATCAGAATCCCACTCACCACCTCTAGATTTCCCCCTCCCGATTGTCTGAAGAGAGAAAGCGAGAAGATGCTACAATATTGCAGCTCTCTGCCATACTCTCCGTATCAGAAGGAAAGGTATGGTTTTACAGCTTGAGCACCCCTCAAACAAAATGGACGATAAACACAGAATTAGAGATGAGCCCTGAAATAATGTGTCGCGAGGGCAAGAATGGCGATAATCTCAGGAAGGAGCAATTTCTGATTTATATTAATATCTGTCTTCCATGCCATGTTTACACTAAAAGAACAAAGAAAGTGGTTCCAACATCAAATGTGCCCTTAAAGGGCCAGTCATGGGTAATTCCTCATCAGCATTTTATCAATGAGTTACAATTACCAACTTCTGCTTCTGATAGTGACTTTTTCAATGCAAAGGTATTACTTACTGATCTTCTAAAATAGGCTTCCCATTGAGCATATTTTTACCAGTTGGAGCATAGTTCCAAGTAGTTTCTCTGATTCCTATGTAGTAGTGCCTATCTTTTGCCAAACCTAGAGAACTAATAGAAAACAGAAAGGTCAGTGGCAAAAGCACCTTCATTTTCAAAGCCTGAGCCTGCAGAGGCTAACGGGGTGACCTGTGTCTTCCTTTTATAATCCAAGCTTTCTTCCTTTATTTGTGTCCATTTACATAAATCAGGGCTGGGTAAGAGCCCGTCGTCAACTTCATCTACATGTATGTCATTGCCGTTCTGAATGCATTTGGTTTCTATTAGTCAGGCCGGGTGAAATGTTACATAACCATAGAGAATGCCGGTTCCTGACCCAGTCCGTGTACACTGCCAGTTTAGAGTGTGCTTGAATTACTGGATGGATGGGCTACCCAGATCATCTATCATCCCCTGACAATTATTGTCTGTTCCTGGATTATAGGCGTCCCCTCCAGTAAAATCTCCAGCCTCCATTTTCTCACTGTTCCAGTTCATCCTACAAATCATTCCCGGATTCTTCTTTAAATGTTACTTTTAATGACTTACTCCCCTAGAGGATAATTTAAATTCCTTCTCATTTATGGCTTTCTTTAAGTTTTTCTCAAATTTCTTGACATTTAAGACTACCCATATTCTAGCCCCTAATCTAGTATTCCAAGTTTGTCTCCACAATTCCCTTCGGGGTCCCTCCCCTCTGGGAAGTTGTCTTATTAGGGACACAGTGTGGAGTCGGGGAGAATGCATGAGCACCGGAATCAGACAGCCCTGGGCTCAGATCTTAAATCTGCCACTTACAAGTTGTGTGACCTGTGTGAATGTGGAACTCAATTTCTTCGTTTATAAAATGATAATAATGTTACTTACCCAAAGAAGAAGTCGTGAAAATTAAACAAGACAGCACATGTTGTAGAGGAGCTTGGGGCGCCTGGTACACAGTCGATATTCAACAAGCGTCATTTGCCTGCCTTTCCCTATTGTTACAATGGACTTTCTGAACGCATCTCCTTGCATGCACACCTGTTCCCCAGCCTGGTATTCCCTCCCTCCTCATCTTCCTTCCTTAGTTTATTCAGATTTTTCCTATTCTTCAAGCCTTGACTGATGCTTGCCCTCCTCGGTGAAGCCATCCCTGACCATTTCAGCCGACAGACATCCCTGCTTTCTGAATTCACCAGCCAAGTCAAGAGCTGGCAATTAACCACATGCTGGTTTAAACAATACTTTCGTCTTGTTCGAATGTTCATGCGGTATTTTCTCTACCCTCAGTAGATGATAGCTCCTGTAGATTAGGGACTACTTCTTTTTATTCTGTATATCTCCCAGAGATATCAAGAAATAAATGTTAACTCTTTTGGAACCAGTCAATAGAGTGCCTTGGCCACGGTTCCAGTAAGTGGGGAAAGGAGCAGGGTCTTTATTTGCCATTGATCTGTGTATCGGCATGTATTGGGATGTCTATTACTGTCAGGTAGCGTCGAGACTTTACAATTTGAAAGTCACCATGCTCTCAGCAGGCAGAGTGACGCAGTGGTACTTTGACTTGGGTTTGGAAACTCACGGAACTATGAAGGCAGTGCGATCCTATGGCGCGTGTTGCTCTGCAGTGCGCTTTTATTCCTCAACTCCGTGTGTTAGACTCTACATACCACTAACTGGGAATCCACTTCTTTCATTTTAATTGCATCGTTTTTTTTCTATTATGAATATACTTCATTTGCTTTTTAAAACATACAAAATCAGAGTATATTTTTCCTCGGCATACATACAGATATCAATACACACTTAAGGAAACGCCCCATGGTGTACATATCAAACTGAATACAGCTCTGAGAGGAAGAGAGAGGGTTATTATATTTAAATTTTTTATAAAGAAAATGAATTTCTATATTATTTGGTGTAAAAAATCAACAAAATGTTTGGGGGGGTTTGCATTAAAAAATAATGAGGCTATAATCTACCTTATGAGCAACTGTTGCTAAGTTCTACACAGGCCAAAAGTTCCAGGCTCTCATATCACAAAGTTTTTCACATTTGTGAAATTTTGGTGAGTTTTAAGAGGAAGTTGGGTAAACAGCCCGCTGTTTTGGTAGAATTTAATGTCACCAGCAGATGTTGGAAGGAATTCAGAAAAGCGATACCTGGAGGGACTGAGGTGGGTGGAGAAACGAAAGGAGACCCAAGAGGAAGGGACTCACCTCTGGCACCTTCTGGGAAAGAGTTGAAAGGGTTGGAGAGAAGACGCAAGTCAGACGTGGCAGGTCTCCCGAGGGAGGGATTAGGGATGAGCTCTCTGACCTGAAGGGGGAGATCCAGTGGTGTTGGGGTAGTTGGAAGCTGTGGTCTCACAGATTCCGCTCCATATGTGGAGGAACCTCATAACCATCCCTGTTAGTGAGGCCTGACCAGCTGCTGTAGAAGGACCCGCTCATCAGGCAGGTGGGCTGGGTTCCTTAAATGGGCTTTCAAATATCCCTTTATCCGGAAATTCTATGACTTCCTTCCTCATCCTCCCAGGAAGAAGGATTTTACTCTGGAATGTGTATAATAGAAGACCATTCAGCTGGCATTTTTTGTCTGTGGTAGGTACCCGATAAGGTCAAAGAAGTCTAGTGCGTTCAAATCAAACACCTCTAGCTCCAGGTCCTCCTCCACCATTTATTATTCGTGTATTTTGGGACAAGTTGCAGAATCATTCTGATCCTGAGTCCCCTTATCTGTAACTCAAGGGTAATAATAACTAAATCTCAAGGCTCCTGAAGGACCAGCTTCCACCTAACACAGAGCAGGCATTCAAAGACAGTGAGCAGGGCCGGCCCGGTGGCTGAGTGGTTAAGTTTGTGCCCTCCGCTTCAGTGGCCCAGGGTTTCGCTGGTTCAGATCCTGGGTGTGAATTTGGCACCGCTCACCAGGCCATGTTGAGGTGGCGTCCCACATAGCACAACCAGAAGGACCACAACTAAAATATACAACTACGTACTGAGGTGAAATATACAACTATGCTTTGGGGAGAAAAAAAGAAGAAGATTGGCAACAGTTGCCAATCTTTAAAAAAAAAAAAAAAAAAGACAGCTAGCAACCTCCCCCAGAAAACGAAAATGGTGTTGTGAAGTATTCGTTGTCTTCTCAACAAATGATGGGAAAACTGGCTTCTACTTTTTTTAGGGAAGGGAGGAGCAGAAGGAAGCACTTTTTCTTAGGTAGTGTTATAATTTATGACTTGTCAAGACAGAAATAACTTTTGCAGTCCTATCCTTCCCTGCCTGCATGGCCCTCAGCAGATCAGTCTTTTGGAGGTGCAGCAGTATTTGAAGTCACCATTATATGACTATATCCTTGGTTTGTAGCCCAAGAGCATAAGGCGACTTACTTAGCTCAGCTTTGTTGAATTTAGACCAAAGACGTGAGCTCAAACACCTTGGAGGAAAATTTGGATTCCTTCCTGGTTTTTCCGTTCAACCACTGAAATAACAGAGCGCATGAAAATATGCATAAGGATCTAGTGATAACAGCATCTTATGTTTGTAAAAAGGCTTACAATATATAAAATACCTTACAAAAGAAAAATCTTACCCTATGTAATCTTCACAACACTCTCCTCTAACCCCCACCCCTTATACCTGTTTAATAGATGAGGTCTCCAGAGCTCTAAGGTCAAGTAAGCTGCTGCAGGATGCACACTGTCAAGTTACAGCACCAGGAGTCCAATAGAAATCATTGGATTCAAGTCAAATGTTTCTTCCATGTGACCTTATTACCTGGCTTCAATAGTTTAAGTGTGTACACTTCTATGTTATCAACAAATGCTAAGTTTTGCTCAGAATGTATGAGTCTAATCGTATCTTCCGATGAGGTAGACCAATGGAATTTAAATGATTTGGGGGCAAGATGGGGAGCTTAAGGCTAACTTTTACATCCATTTCTGCTCTTTCTATTACTTCTATCAATAACCACCATTTATTGCAAATCAGATCTTCCTTAGCCACTTTGCAAACATTAGCTCTAATTGCATCAGCAAATCCTGAAAGGGAGGTTTATTAAGGTCTTTTTATCTGGAACTTGGGGGTTTTAAACAACTAGCTAATCTAGCTACTTTGTGGAAACTGTCAACCAGATTGCAGTGGTGTTAGTGCTGTCAGTGGGCGCCTCAAACTCAACTTGCCCAAATATGAACCCCTACAAATTCTAGTTTTAGTTCCAACATGTAAAAAGCTTGGAAGTCATGACTGCCATCCTTACAACAGGAAACACTGGACAAAATGGAAATTAACAACTTTTCTTGAACCCATCAGAGAAAAGAGTTTGTAGGGCAAACCACCATTCCCAAATCTGGAGAGTCAGGCACATCTAGAGAGTCATAGGAGAGATCTGCTTTCCTGGAGCCATAAACTGGTAGGAACACTGAAATGGTAATTTCAGTGAATTGCTGGAGACTGAGTACAGACTAGCATGAGAGTGAGAAACTCCTGGGGGCTACAGCCTTAGTGGGGTCCCCCAACACTTTCATGGGCCTTATTTCCAGGAATGCTACCAGGTTCTCCAGGTGGAGATCTGAGAAAGGTCCCCACATGGCTCTGATGGGGGAAAGAGAAGTGTCAACCTTGTGAAATAGACTGAGAGACTTCTCCATAACAAAGGCTTGTTCTCCATGGGGAAGACTTTATCAGAGGCTTGTCCCAGAGCCATGGGAGAGGGTCTCTCTCAGTCCAGCCTCCTGTAGGCTTCCTGTTCACCTAAGGGGGTGAGGGGCTGGTTTACAGGAAGAAACACTTGACAAGGTCACAGGCAAGAAATAGAGGTTGACTAAAAGACTGAGATTTATTTGGAAGATTGTAGAATGTTCTCCCTCCATTACACCTTATTAGGATACAAACAGGGCTCCAGTATAATAACAGTGAATGACAGCTGAAAAAGCTATAAGACACAGACTGTCCCTAAGAAGAAATACTTAGGGAAGCCCAAAGGCAAGAGAGAAGTTAAAAAAACAAACAAAAAGAACACCAGAGGAGTTTGAAGACTCTGGCACTTATAGTTATAGCAAACAGTGAACAAAGCCCAGCCTTTAGCTGGATTATGATAAATCGTCACACCAAAGGCCTACTTACCTCAATTCCTGTTACCCAATATGACATTTTTAAGTAAAAAATTATGAGGCACACCAAAAAGCGAGAAAAAACAACCTGAAGAGATAAAGCAAGTATCAGAACCAGACTCAAATAGGAACCAAATGTTGGAATTGTCAGACATGGAATTTAAAATGACTATGGTTAACAATGTTAAGGGCTATAATGGAAAAAGTAGACAACACAAAAGAACAGATAGGTAATGTAAGTAGAGAGATGAAAATTCTAAGAAAGAATCAAAGCAAAATGCTAGAAATCAAAAACATTGTAATAGAAATGAAGGATGATTTGATGCTTCATTAGACTGGACACAGCCAGAGAGAGAATCAGTGAACTTGAAGATCAGTCAATAGAAACTTCCAAAACTTTTTACAAAGAGAAAAAAAAATGCAAACCAAAACAAACAAACAAAACACATTATGTTGTATACCTAAAACTAATATAATGTTATGTGTCAACTATACCTCAATAAAACAAACAAAACAGAACATCCAAAAACTATGGGATAATTTCAAAACACGTCACACATACAATAGTGGAATAGCAAAAGAGGAAGAAAGAAAGTGTAAAATAAATATTTGAAGTAACAACAACCAAGAACTTTCCAAAACTAATGACAGACACCAAACTACAGATCCAAGATCCAAGAAGTCAGAGAGGACCAAATGTCAGAATAAATACCAAACAAAATAAAACAAAACAACCCTATACCTAAGCCTATCCTATTCAAACTACAGAAAACCAAAGGTGAAGGGAAAATCTTGAAAGAAGTCAGAAGAGGGAAAATATCTTATCCATATAGAAACAAAGAGTTATAAAACTGAACCGATTTTGCTCATGCCTGAAAGTCGTTCCATTCACTGCCTGCATTTCAGTTAATGGTACCGCCAGCCTTCTCATATCCCAGGCCAAAAATCTTGGATTCATCCTTAGCTCTTCTTTTTTTCACCTTTCACCTCCAGTCTGTCACCTGTTGAAAATATATTTAAAACCAGCCACTTCTCACCGCCTCTACTGATACTTGCTGGTTCAAGCCACCGTGGCGTCCCTCTGGAGTACCGGAAAAGCCTCCCAAATAGTCTCCCTTCTTCCAGCTTTGCCTCTCTTCAGTCTGTTCTTAACACAGCAGTCTGAGTGACCCTTTAAAAATATAAATTCTATCAGGTCATTCCTCTGCTCAATGCCTTGCAAGGACTCCTATTTCTTGCAGAATAAAATCCACTGTCCTTTCTATGGCTTTCAACACTCCCTTCTCATCTTACCTCCCATTACCTCTTTTCTCTCATCTCCACTCTTCTCTCCTTTGCTCATTCTGCTCCAGGCAGGCTTGTCTCCTTGCTGTTCCTTTAACGTACTAGCCACACTTGCTACATAAGGCCCTTGCACTAACTCTTCCCTCTGCCTGAACACTCTTCCCTCAGATATCCTGAAGGCTCCGTCCTTGGCCCCCTTCAAGTCTGAAATGTGACACACTCAGTGAGGTCTCCGCTGACCACTTGATTCACTGTCACTGCCTGCTCCAGCTCCCTTCTCCCCAGTGCTCTGGAGCATCTGGCTTTTTCTTTCGTCCATAGCACATATTCTAATTTACTATAAACATTTTCTTATTTATCAGGTTTGTAGTTCATGGTCTATCTCTTCTTTGAAAATGTAAGCTCCATAAGGGCAGGAGTTTTTGTTGATTTTGTTTGTTGATGTCTCTGGTACCTAGAGCAGTGTTTGGTATAAACTATGTGCCTAATAAAGTTGTGTTTCATGAATACATTGTGGGATACCCTGAAACTGGCTATGTGGCCTGGGAAAACGAGAGTAGCAACAATAGTGATGATAATAATCATTCCGGAGGTACTTTCTATGTGTTAAGCGCTTTATGCGTTTAATTCATTTAATCCTGACAACCTCAAGAGTGAGGCAATGGAAGCAAAAGGAAGGTAGGACTCCTGCCCACCAAGGTCATAGAGCTGGTTAGACACAGAACCAGGATTGGGACTTCCAGGCATTCTGGCTCCAGAGCCCACGTTCTTGGCCAATGTGCTGTACTGAGAAATCGGATTATCTCTCTGTACCTCAGGCTTTTTCCTCTTTATTCCATGTTGTTGTGCTGGATTATTTTTAAGGATCCTTCTAGGTCCACAAAATCATACGTCACTCTGCTTCACTACTTTACCTACTTTGCTGAAGATTTCCCGACTAAGCTATCCGATAATGACTTGATGGAACCAGGAACCAGTGGCCCTGTGGACATCACATTGCAGATCCTTCCTAATGTCCATGCTTCCTCTTTTCAGATGCAAATATGACACAACCGTGCCTGAGTAAACTTGTTTTTCCCCACGACGATACAATGCCGGTTAGTCCTGCTTGTCCAGGTTCTCCTCGTACCTTAAGGATGAACAAAAAGTGATTAGGTAAATCAACGTCCTTCAAAGAGAGCAGAACAATTGTAAACAGCCCGATGAATCAGAACTAGCCCAGCATCAGCTCCTGCTGTTTGGGGTAGATCAGAACTCTTGCGGGAGACAGACTGGGGAAGCTCGGTACAGCTGGAGATATTCAACTGGCCAGAAATACCGGGATAGAAAACGGCAAGATCAATAAAGAAAATTTTATTGGAAAAAAAGAGCTTTTAGTGTTCTTTGTTTGCCAGTTATGAGCCATTTCTACTTCACTGTATATGTGAATGACTCTCAACTATAGGAAGTCCTGTCTTCATTCACGTATTCAGCATTCAACAAGTGCTTATGGAGAGTCTCTATGTGTCTAGCCTTGTTCCAATTGCTAAGGGAGTAACGACATTTATCGAATTGGGCAGTACAATGAGTGAAGAGGGCCTGTGGGTGATGGTGCAGCCACAAGCAAAATATGGCCAGACAGAGAACACAACCTCATTTCTTGTCTGTGCCTCAAATATATTGCCCAGTTTGTTTACTTCTTGCATTACTAAAACCAACCCATCTTCAGTGGATGAATATTTGACATCTTGAAAGACTGTAAAAAGAATTATTGTCACAGAATGTCAGGGCAATTCCGGAGAAGAATACCTGACAACTGTTTGGAACCATGACTTGGAGAGTCTTTACATTCACGTGGATATGCAGGTTGGAATGCACGTAATGCATTCATTCTGTGTTTCTTATTAAAACAGTTACAGTATGTCCCATTCACAACTCTTCAGCATGCTCTCAGCTAAAAAACAAATGTGTTGATTGCAGAAATTCATTTGTAATTCATCTTTTGGACCTCTGAATGACTTTTCTCCCATTGAAGGATTGTTCGAGTGGTAGGTGGATGCCACCTCCGCCCTCCAAATGCCATTATAACCCCAAATTTAGATGAAATAACTAAAGATAGTTGCTACCAGAAAACGGCCACTTAAAGAGAATCCCTTTGAAACTGGAAACAAAATATTTGATTAGAACTTTATTGTTAGAAAGAAAACCACCTAAGAAAATAAGCTTATTTTGTCTTAAATTAGTTTAAATCCTACTTTTTTTGATTTTTGAAAAGACAGTGCCACGTGGTTCAATCTGATACTTACCACATTTTGATTAGATTTATGAGTCTGCGCCAAATCTTAGAATGAACCAGAAATAAATCAAGTCTTGTTTGGGTTTAATTTTATAATTTTTGTTGACAAAGATTTATGGGAACATAATATCAAGTCCTTCATTTCATTCTCGATTCTTGCAGCACCTTCACAAATAGGGGTATTTTGCCTAAATATTAGAGGGCATGCTAAGGGCGTCTTTTAATCTATAAGACTCAAATCCTTCTTTTGACACACAGAACCTGTCATCATCCTTTTTAACTTCGTTTTCTTTGAATGTTTACTAGTCCAGCTCTGCCAGATACTTATGTGTCACAACTTTGTGTGTGATGTGAGTAGTTCCCCATTACTTTCAAATCCTGCGTTATGTACATTTAATCGGCATTCTATTTGCAACACCAGAGGAACAAGTATATTGACGCAATAAAGAGGGAAAGATATTTGTGTCACATGGGAAGAAATGTTTAAACGGGACTAACATCATAAGTGTCACTTTAAACAAACAATCATTGGGTTCCTGTGTATTTATATTTATAATAAACCAGGTAGAAGACCACTCAGATGCAAATCTAACAACTAAAGAAAAATTTTAAAACGTGTATGTAATAGTGTAAAAAATTTTGTTTTGAATGTTGGTTCTTCAAAAAAGAAGCTTTAATTAGAGAAACAGGAATGATGGTTCATCTTACATACTTTACATACAAGCTGGTATTTGACTTCAGAAGTTAATAAAATCAATTTTTATGTAGATGAATCATTTGACAAACACGATTTTTTTCTCCTTGGAATTAGTCTTTCAATATCACGATGCTTAAAACACATCACACCATATTAACAACTGTTTTGTACTTTTACAAAAGCAATTTTAACAGTCACATTTTCAGACTTTTTGATTCACATGTATTCCAGTCACTTTTGTGTTTTAAAGATTCCTCATTTGTCCCCACACTTTTTAGCTTAAAATTTCAAACTACAGAAAAATTTAAAGAATAATACAATGAACACTTGTATTCCCTTTCCTGGATTCATCAATAATTGACATTTGCCACATGTGTTTTATCTCTTTATATATAGCGACTTTTTCTCTGAATCGTTTAAAAGTCGTTTGTAGATATGTCACTCCTAATGCTTAGCATACATCTCTTAAGAGTAAGGATGTTCTCAGCCATCATCACAATATCATTATCACACCCAACCTAACACTGATATTGAAAACTTGACTAATAGTCCATAATCAAAGTTCCCCAATTATCTCATTAATGTCCTTTATAGCTTTTTTTCTTCCTTTTTTCTGACCCAGAATCCAATCATGGAGCATATTTGCATTTGGTTGTCATGTCTCTTAAGTATCTTTTATCATAGAAAAATTTCCTGACTTTTTTTGATCCTTTATTTTTTTATTTAAAGTTTTCTTATTTATTTCTTTTTTTAATTGAGATTCATAATAGTTTACATCATTGTGAAATTTTAGTTGTACATTATTTCTTGTCTGTTACCACGTAAGTGCTCCCCTTCACCCCCTGTGCCCACCCTCCACCCCCCTTCCCCTGGTAACCACTGAACTGTTTTCTTTGTCCATGTGTTTGTTTATATTCCACAGATGAGTGAAATAATATGGTGTTTGTCTTTCTCAATCTGGCTTATTTCGCTTAGCATAAAACCCTCCAGGTCCATCCATGTTGTTGCAAATGGGACAACTTTTTTATTCAAATGGGACTTTTTTATGGCTGAGTAGTATTCCATTTATATACATATACCACATCTTCTTTATCCAATCATTAGTTGATGGGCACTTGGATCGTTTCCATGTCTTGGCTATTGTGAAGAGTGCTGCAATGAACATAGGGGTGCATATGTTACTTTGGATTTGTTGATTTCAAGTTGTTTGGGAAGATACTCAGTAGTTGGATGGCTGGGTCATATGGTAGTTCTATTTTTAGTTTTTTGAGGAATCTCCGTACTGTTTTCCATAGTGTCTGCACCAGTTTGCATTCCCACCAGCAGTGTATGAGGGTTCCCTTTTCTCCTCATCCTCTCTAACATTTGCTGTTTTGGGTCTTGGTAATTACAGCCATTCTGACTGGTGTAAGGTGATAGTTCATTGTAGTTTTGATTTGCATTTCCCTAATTATAAATGATGTTGAGCATCTTTTCATGTGCCTATTGGCCATCTGTATAACTTCCTTTGAAAAATGTCTGTTCATATCCTCTGCCCATTTTTTGATCAGGCCGTTTGGGTTTTTTTGTTGAGTTGTGTGAGTTCTTTATATACTTTGGGTATCAACCACTTGTCTGATAAATGATTTGCAAATACTTTCTCCCAATTTGTGGGTTGCGCTTCCATTTTGTTGACAGTTTCCTTTGCTTTGTAGAAGCTTTTTAGTCTGATGTAGTCCGTTTGTTAACTTTTTCTTTTGTTTCCCTTACCCAATTAGACATGGTATTCAAAAAGATGTGGCTAAGACCAATGTCAAAAAGCGTACTGATTATATTTTCTTCTAGGATTTTTATGGTTTCAGTTCTTACGTTCAAATCTTTAATCCATTTGGAGTAAATTTTTGTGTATGGAGTAAGATAATGGCCCACTTTCATTCTTTTGCATGTGGCTGTCCAGTTTTCCCAACATCATTTATTGAAGAGACTTTCCTTTCTCCGCTGTATGTTCTTGGCTCCTTTGTTAAAGATTAACTGTCCATAAATGTGTGGTTTTATTTCTGGGCTTTCAATTCTGATCCATTGATGTGTTTGTCAGTTTTTGTGCCAGTATTTTGGTCCTTTATTATATTTACATTTTTGAAGAGCACAGTTTTGCAGAATGTTGCATAATTTGGATTTATGTGGTTGCTTCCTCCTTATTAAATTCAGGCTAAACATTTTTTGACAGGAACATCACATGGGTAATATCGTGTACTTCCCATCACATCAGGAAGCACATGACACCAGTGCTCACCATCGCTGGTAACGTTACACACCTTAGTTTGAGTTTTCCTAAAAGCAAACTGTGAGATGAGGGCTTAGGTACAAGTAGTTTATTTGGGATGTGACCCCAGGACGTACAATGAGAGAGTGAGGGAATGAGACAGGGAAGGGAGAAAAGCCAATAAGTGAGTAAATTAATGCTGTGGGCAAGGGGGGCTCAGTCCAGCTGGGGATTCTTTGAGAAACTGAATGCCCTCCTCAGAATTATCCTATTGAAGGGCAAGGAAGTTATGGAATTTATCCACCAACTCTCATTGATTGAAGGTCATTGCTGGGTGTCAACTCCCAGGCACTTCTGACCTGCCCAGTGTGCTGTACAAGCATGCTCTTGCCCCCAGAGAGGATCTTCAGGTAGAGAGATGCAGAAAGCCATTTTTCCTGGATATCTATTCCTAAACAATATATTGTTTATTTTTGAAGAAAAAAATAAGGGCCAGCCCCATGACCGATTGGTTGAGTTTGTGTGTTCCGCTTCAGTGGCCTGGGGTTTGTGGGCTCAGATCTGGGGTGCGGACCTACACACCGCTCATCAAGCCATGCTGTGGTAGTGTCTCACATACAAAAAGAGGAAGGTTAGCACAGATGTTAGCTCAGGGACAATCTTCCTCAAGAAAAAACAGGAAGATTGGCAACAGATGTTAACTCAGGGCCAATTGTCCTCACCAAAAAAAAAAAAAAGAAGAAGAAAAAAATAATAGCAAGCATAAACTTGTTTGTGTTAGAAAAGGGACAACTGTGACACCGTTGGATGAAAGTTCTGGGAGAAGGCAAGCTGAACAGGCTCCAGCCTGCCTCCTACGGCCCAGCAGCTCTCGGGAGTGGGCTGAGGAGCACATCTGGGGAGGGAGGGACTCCG